AACAAACTCCAACTCTCGCCAGATTCAGAAGAGCAGAGCCACGAGCACTGCCAGCAACAACCTTTCTGTGGGACCAGAACACCTGCCACACAAACCAGTACATCAGTGTCATTGTTTTGCTTCCCAAGCCCCCTTGCCTAGAGAGGAGCTGCTCCGATGTCAGGAAACCCAGCCCAGGGGGCAACTGACCCAGCCTCAAACCAGGCAGCCCTCTCCCAAAGTGCCCACAGCCCAGCGGTGCCCCAAGGGGCAGCTGCACTCACCCGAGCGCGTGGCACTCGCCGAGAGCTGGTGGGCACAGGATGAGGCCAAGTCCTCCCCGGGGTGGGTGCTGCAGAAGCGTCTCCTCACTGTAACTCTGCACCTGAGCACAGTGCTGGCCAGGAACTTCCTGGAGAGGAGCTGGAGGCTCTGAAGACCAGAATCGTCTCCAGGCTGTAATTAACCACTTGCTTCCCCCACCCTTGATTATGCAGACGAGGGAAATAGCAGAACCCACCAATCTGCTGGGGAGGGAGGAGGCTGCACTGATCCCGCCCCTGTGGCACCAGGGCCAGGGACCCCAAGGACCCCCTGCCCCCCCGGGGGTTCCCAGTGCTCCCAGCAGGGTGAGTGTGTGGCTGCAGCTGGTCTCTGTGCAGGGGGAGGCTGGGGCAGAGTCTGGAAAGGGATTTGCTTTCCCTAACAGGGGTCAGGCCTGTTACAAGGTTAATTAATCCATTAACTGGAGTCAGCTCAGCAAACGAAGATAGGATGGCAGGAACGCTTGGTTGCTACCAGCCAACCACCAGTCTTTGCCTGGAGGACCGTGCTGCACCCTCTGGGGAACCCCAACCACACCCCATCTCCTTTGGGAGGATTTGGCTGCTCTGTAGAGCCAGTGCCAGGCCCGACCCCACAGCGTGGCCGCGTGGGGAGCACCCATGGCCAGCCCGTGTTCCCACCCGCCGCCAACCACCCCAGCAGACACAGCCACTAGACACCCAAACCCAGAAGAAATGGGAGGAGATGTGGTTTTTTTTCCACATGAGATGGTGCAAACTGGCCGCACTGGTGGAGCTCTGGCTCCTCACAGTTCGGTGTGAGGCAGAGCTGGCCCCACGGCAGCACCTCTCCTGCTGCCAGCCCCTGCTCTGCCGCAGGTGGCACAGCCAGGGCTGGGCTCCCCGTGTGCCTCCTTTGATCTGCAGCTATTCTGCTTGCTGGAAAGCAGCTTTTCACCTCTTCCTCTCTCTCTCTCTCTGCCCCAGCACAAGGAGAACTCCTGCATGAAGAGCAGCAGGGTTGGATCCGAGCAGGGACGCAGCTGGGTGAAGGGGCGTGTTGAGAAAGGCAGATGGAGTTCCAGGGGAGAGAAGGAGCAGGTTTTGGCCAGGCTTTGCCTGAAGCTGGCTGGGGCTGGGCAGGAGGGTTAGGAGAAGGTGCAGCAGTCGGGCCAGATAAGGACGGGCACCCACCAGGCTGGTGCTAACTCCTCATCGTCAGCCGAAGGCACCGCACCCAGGGCACGGCCGTGGCAGACGGGGCCCTTTTCATCTCCA